AAGCTACGTCTCCTGATTCAATAAAATAATTAAAAAAAAAAAAGGCAAATATTATTTTCCTTCTTTACAGAAACACACATGAAATTGCAGAAAAAAAAAAAAAAAAGAGGATCGAAGTGGGTTGGCTATACTTTACCGAACAGGATTAGATTCCGATGGAGCACAACAAACCAACCTCCTCTTCTTTGGAATTGAAGTAGAATTCACCTTCTGTGATTCAAGAGTGGTGGGAAATGATCGTAAAAGTCGATGAGACTGAGATATGGAAGGCCTGAAAATAGTAATCGCCATTTCCCGCTCCCCCGCTCCCTTCACATTCTACTCCAACTCACGATTGAACCCATCACAATATAAGGATGTGGGTGTGTACCGTTGTACCACGTTGGTGGGTCAGGATATTCCCTCTCTCACCGTGATATATATATATATTATCATTGTCGATAGTTAAAAATAATAAATAATAAATATATTTATATTTATATTTAAAATTAAATCACAAATATAAAAAAAAATAAAAGAAGTTAAGCATCGATTTTTTTGAAGTGGGTGAAAGGTGATAAACGATATTGGTGGTGATAAGAGACAACGATGGTTATAGTGTGTGACAATATCTGTAGTGGCGATGGTGGTGGCGGTGGTGGTGGTGGTGGCAACGGTGATGACAGTGGTGGCAGCGGCAACGATAGTGGCAGCAGTGTTGGCGGTGATGGTGAGACGGTTTCAAATATTATTTTTTTTAAAAATATTTATGATATGTAATTTTTAGAAATACTTTTAAAAAATCACTCACACTCTTAGAGGCTATTTTTCCTATTAAATTTAGAGTGCTAATATTAACTGTTAGATTAATTTTAAAGTGATTTCAACTGCGAATAACAAAAATTATTTTGTTTATTTTTGGGTTTTGAAAAGTGAGTTACTTTATTTATATTATATATATAAATATTTACTTTTGTTAGGTTGAACAAAGAAGAAGCACCAGTGGTCTAGTGGTAGAATAGTACCCTGCCACGGTACAGACCCGGGTTCGATTCCCGGCTGGTGCATTTCTTGAGGAGAGCTGTGATGATAGCTCTGCGCTCTACGTGATGACAGGGTCCTCACAATCGCCTGACTATTCGGACGAAAACAAAGCGCATCTGAGCTCTCTTCCCTTTTTTTTTTTTTTTTTCCAAAAATTAAAAAAAAAAATAATAGCAGATTGGAGCTAATGGAACATTGATTATAGTGATGTCCTAAAGTTCTCTAACACCGACTACAGTTAGTAGCAGAGGCGGACCTATGAGGAGGGCCCCCTCAAATTTTAAAAATTCTCATTATTCTTCCTATATTTTAAAAAAATTTATTGTTAACCTCTAATTCTCTCACCCAAGTATTACTGATACACATGCTTGTACTACTTCTTAGTTTAATTTTTTGTTTGATTTCATGTGAGTTATATAAATTTTTTTTTTTTTTTGTGTATTTTTTATTCTGTCAAATTGAATTATTTTTCATTTAGGGTTTATATATGAGTGTTTATATATGTATGTATTCATACAAGTTTGTAACAAGAAGGAAAGACAAAGCATTATAAATTCTTGTGTTGATTACTTATAATTGTACATATAAATTATTTTTATAGATGTACTCATCAGATTTCTTTGATATAGTTTATATCTATACACAGAGAAGTTAATGATGAACTCGGTCCATACCAACCAAGAATAACAAACCCAACTCAGAGACTTAGTTCAAAAATACATATTAGACCCAAAATCGTAGACCCGGCCCATCTTAAGCATACAAGCTAAGGCTATCATAGGATGAGAGAAACTAAATCAGGTCAGTCGTGTCATCTTCAAAAAGTTAGGTCAGTGTGAAAGACTCAGTCCACAACTGACTTGCAAGAAAATCTCCTTGAAACGTGCACGTTACCACCTCCACGAAATCATCTCACCTATTACAAGAATGACGCCACCTTTATAGCATTACCTCACTTATTACAAGAAAAACACATCAATCTAGTAGGAGACGCCTATAAATTGTAATCCCCACCTACACAAAGAGGCATCTCTCATATCTTATTTAAATCTGAGCATTCTACACCCCTTGAGCAATAAATACTTAGGTCATCATAGCCCTTCATATTGGAGTAGATCATCCTGACCGAACCACTTAAACTATGTTTTGCTTGTGTTAACTCTTATCATTTATTACTATATTTAATATTTGACAGATTGTGCAAAACACACATTTTGTGCATCACCGGTTAATATTATTGCCCACCCTATAGCAACACAAGTTATTGCTCCTCATGTTTAATTTAGTGGAGGTTGTTTTGATAGAAATTAGAATATGATTGGATAATGTACAAATACATAAATTGATGTACTCATTTTACGCATCAATTTTATAATAAAAAGTTGTTTTTATGTAGGGTTTTGGAGAGATAGAAAATGAAACACTAATTATAAGAAGATAGAATGTAAGCTTGTTATTAAAAAGACTAATATAATATATGACAAATTTAGTTAAAATGAGATGGGTATAGAAAAGTGAGAATAGCCCATCCTTTCACCAATTACCATATACTTAGTTTGTCTTTGATGAAAACAATATATATAATATAAACAAATTGAGCGTCTCGTACAAGAAACACAGTAATTTAAAAAATATATTTAGCATTTAACCAAAGACAATACATTTGAAAATCCATAATTCAAATATAATAAGATTCCCTGACAAAGACAACAAGCACCAGTGGTCTAGTGGTAGAATAGTACCCTGCCACGGTACAGACCCGGGTTCGATTCCCGGCTGGTGCATTTTTACTTATTTTTTTGGTTTTTTTTCCCCAGGGGCAGGGTCATCGTTGCTAATGAACTCTGCAATCGATTTCATCCAAGATACCTACAACTTCCACTTGATATTCACCCTCTTAGCTTCGTCATTGTTAATGGGTGTGTGTGTGTAGTTTATTGCAGAGAATGCCTGTGGAAGCGATTCTGACACAAACTCGGATGATGTGCCGGAATACTAACAGCCCAATATAAGCAATGACGATGATGAACACTCTTAAGGTACCTGTTAACAAGGCAGGTCCGGTATACAGCCTACTAGCCAGAAGGTTCTCAAGAACGAGAAAGCCGACCAGTCAATAGCCAAACACTTATCCGAGTTCCAAACACTGATCATAACTCTGACGACAATAAGATGATTCCAGTGTTCATGACCTGTCAAATGGATATTGCTAACTGTATAGTATAGAGAATGGAGTATGGTATATGGATATGAGTGACGGCATATAGGTCCATGCAAGTGTAAAGTGAAAATCTCGAGTATCATTTCAAATTGACCAGCCAATCTTGCTCGTCACAGTGATTTCTCATTCATGGGGGTTTCTGGAAGAACAGGAACAGTTGAAATCTCATTGCTGATCTTGACATTGGAAAGCCAATGAGAGTTCAATCGTAAGTTCTGAATGATTAACCAAATGAATTCCAATACTCCGTCACGTTCGACAAGATTAACCCTCGATTCCATATAATGCAGTGATTCAAATATGTTGGTACCATTACAGAAAGTATTATTAAGCTCTCAACCACCACATTTATCCAAAAGCCACTATTTCTCCGTTTACATTCAAAACTGAAGTTTACACTACATACAACTCAAAACAATCTCCGACCGGCTATTACAAGTTCAAACTGGGAAGCAACAAATGGGTTTCCCAGGGTTGGCTCTTAAAGAAGGAACCTCTGACTGTGGACCAAGAAAATGGTTATTAGGAAGACAAGGATTGAGCAAGGATCAAGGCAACCTCTCAAACATCAATATTCTCAATGGCTGCACCTTTGTTAATTCTCTTCACTATGCCAGCTATAACCTGATAATCAGTTCAGAACATGCTCAGCCTTGTTCAAAATCTCATAGACATATGAGAAATATGAAATATATCCGTTTGCATTTCAGATATGTATAAAAATAAAGCATCCAAGAATTTACAAGCGGAGGACTAAGTTTATACCTTTCCAGGTCCTAATTCATAGCTCTTCTTCAACTCTTTGTTTAGGAGAGTCTTCACCGTTGTCTCCCATTGAACAGGAGAAGTCACCTGTGATTTAAGTCAACAGCAACAATGAATATTTATTGACCGTGTTCTTTTTTTTTTGGTGTGTGGAAATTGGGGACAAAATCCTTAATAGCATACCTGACGTGCCAATATTTTCTTAATTGTGTCTGGATCAGCATGTGGTTGTGCATCAACATTGGATATTACTGGTATTCTTGGAGTTCTAATTTCTGTCGCTGCCAAAGCAGCTTCCAATCTTGAGACGGCTGGCTCCATGAAACTAGTGTGGAAAGCACCAGCAACAGCTAGACGCACCTATGTAAGGGAAAATGATGTCATTGGATGTCGGAAGCATGGCATCAGCCAGTAAACCGAGACTTTAGGATAAAAAATACCGTCATTCGAGCCTTAAATGACTTTGCCTTGGCTTCTACTGCTTCCACTCCTTTCACACCTCCGGAGACTGCATAATTGCCCTAGCAATATTAGAATGCACTCCATGTTACCATCAGAGAGAAGAAAATTACGTGTTTAGATTTGATGAATGAAATGAAATTTTCTTAAAAAAATAAATAAAAACTTACAGGGCATAAGAAATTTGCAATTTGAACTTTGTCAGATTCGTCTACATCTTCATTTGCAGCATCACAGAGTAGTTGTACTTTCTCTGAATCCAGTCCTATTACACTCACCATGGCACTTTTAGCAGCATCAGCAGCTCCCTATAGGTAACAGGACATAAGTATTACAAGGAAAAATCCAAGACCCATGGTCTCATGGATAGACAAAAAAGATCATTGGCTAGTAACAGACAGCTACCTGCATGGCTTCACCTCTTAATTTGACCAGCTTGAGTCCATCCTCAAAGCTAATATGTACAATCAAACCAGAAAAAAAGGGCTTAAAACATTAATCATTTATGAGTGTACTGTTGACAACCTCATATACAGCCTAACCTGTAAGTGTGAGAGATTCACACATTTACCTAGCTTAATTAAAGTGTATTGTAATGTCATGGGCCTCATGGCATGCAGGATCCAAAGAATGGGACCCATGGTAGAGTGAAGCACTCTTGCTCAATAAAAATCTAATGGAATTTTGCGAACATGGTGTTACTTCAATTAAGCGGTAAATAACATTCAACAACGACAATAATAAAAACTCTTAGGTTATTAAAACAGACGACTCACCTGAAAGCTCCAGCAAATGCTAGGGCAGTGTATTCTCCAAGGCTTAGACCACAAGTGACATCCACAGAATCAATTATCTGCTGACCTCCATCACGAGCACGGAGTACCTCCACTGCAGCTAAGCTTGTAACATATATAGCTGGCTGTAAAATGCAGAATTAAAAAGTCATCTAAGATAATTATCAGATACGCAAAGAGTGAAGAACAGCTGGCATCATTATCCTTCAAATTGACAGCATACACATTTCAATCCAGTTAAAACCAGTGTTCTTACACCGATATTGTTGCAGCATCGTAGTTGTTAAAATGACCTTCTTTAGTCTCTACCAACACAGGAAAAGCATATTGGGCCATCTGAATAGACTTTTATCATGAATAAATAGGAATTATACTCCAATCTAGATGTTAACCTGACTAGTCAAGCTAGTTGTTTACACTAGTAGATTGCTTTTTTTTAATAGGCTACACATCCTGCACACCCCATCAATAAGTTCTAGCCAGGGCAGGAGTTATACTTGTAACCTATAGGTCAACACTAGTGCCCCACACCAACTCACCTGCACCCATACAGCCAATGCTTCAAAAGACTACCCACGTGCAGGCCTTAAACTGAGAAAAGCACAGTGCTACAACAGCTTCTTCTATCTTATTAACCCGAAAACAAAAAATAGAAGACATTAGTAAAAGCATTAAGCCAGTGTACCTGACTTAGAACAGTGGAATCTAGCTTCTCTTTTGGTCCATTTATGCAAACATCCAGCAGGTCAAACCTTCACGCAAACGAAACATTCCCCATTTGAGATAAAATCTTGCTTCCAAGCTTCACATATTGTTAGCATTGAGACTAACCAGGAGGTTAGATTATAAGGTACAAGCCTCAAAATAACACATTCATTGAACCTACCCTAGAATGTCATTTGCTTTCTTGTACAAGTCTTCCGCAGCAGGTACCTTTTGAGCCTCTTTACCCATTCCAACTGCTTGAGCACCCTGCAACATAAAATTGCAGTATAATACATTGTCATGATCAAATGATTTAATTTGTGAGATGCACATTTTCAAGGAAAAATATGATTAAATTTGAATCATGTCACTAAAATCAAAGTTTATAGGTCGACTTCAATAACAAAACTCAAGCAATCAAGCTTACACAACACTCTGACAACTAAGAAACCACATAATGGCAGTCTAGTAAAGCTAATAAAATCTCACATACCAGAAAAAAGCTCATAAACTCCTATACCCATATCGCAGAAAGTTGCATCCACAATTGTACATGTAAAATCTTAGTAGCTACATGTTTTTTTAACCAAGTCCCTCTTGTAGATTCATTTTAATGAAAAGCAAATTATCTCTTCTTATTCCTGGTTGTTTCCACTTCTGAATCTTGATAATCCACCTTCCAAAGAACCATTAACTATAACAAGTAATTGGTTGCAATAAACATAATTATCAAGTGTAATCATCAAATTCAATCATTTTGCAGTATAATAAGATATTTCATGCATTGATCCATGACACACACCCAAAATAAAGATTCCCAGGAGCCTAATGCCTCTGGAACAAATTTCAACTTTCCCCTACTATAAATCCAGCTCTATCACCAGCATTCCTCTTCAACCTTCTATACCAATTTTATTTGTCAACAGTAACATGAAGAACTAGTCAACCAAGACATCATCAACAACTTTAAGGGTGTTCATCCCCCTGCTAGTGTCCACACCACCACCCTGGCCATCCGTTTAGCTGCTCAGTCTATCTTCATTTATGTCCTTGGTAACATGGCTCGTGGCCATGTCCACCTAGTGCTCCAAGTCCTTCGTCAACCAATTCAACGACCCACAAGCATGCAATCACCAAGTCTGAAAACACCACGACTTATACAGCGATGGTAGTGGTGTTACCTCCTATTCTACTTACCACAGCAACAAACATATCTAGCAATGTTACACATTGGGCATGACCTGTGGATGTTAGAGTTCCTGAGTCAATTTCTTCGTAATGTTGTTTTTGTGTACTTCAATCATCCATCATAGTTCAACATTTTCCTACTGATTAAGTTGGTTTTAAAGTTTTTCCTTCATTTGTTAAGCAAGGTTCGTATCTAGTTGTCAACCAAAGCAGTCATAATTTGTCAGAAATAAATGTCTTTTTACATGTGTAGTTCAAAAAATATATATAATCCATAACAAGAGAGCTGATTGCATTGATATATTTCTGAAATCTAAAATCAACCGACAAAAGGATGTGAAAAATACCTAATTTCTAAATCACCTTAGGTTTCTTCAAAAATGGATTCTAGTGCCATCAATCAAACAGATGTTTCAAATTGCTCCAGAAATAACACAACGAAAAATTGCAATAACGTTGAACTTAAACGGACATGAAAAGTTGTTATTCATATTTGTATGTTTTACTCAAAAATGACAATCTACTTCCACACCCAGTAGGCATGGGCATTATTAAAATCAAATTAGATAAAACAATTAGACAATTGCTAATTTTTTATTACCAAATGGTTTATCAAATGACTTAGATTGTTACATCTACGGATCCCCCACCTAATGGTAAAATCCACTCCCACATTGATGGTAAGCAAAATTTGGTAAAACATGTAGAATACACAGACATCATTATTCTTAATAGGAGATATTGGGCTGCCTTTGGCAATGGTAACATTGGGAGTGCATGAAGGAGCACAAGAAACTATTCACTGATTATGGGAGTTTTAAAGTAATGTAACCTTTCCCTCAATCCACAGCGTTAATTCCAATTTTCTTCCGATCGAACAAAAGTAAGTAATCTGAAAAGAAAATCAATCTGACCTGGCCAGGAAAGAGAAAAGCGCAGGTCGGTTTATAATCCAAAAACAAGGCATCATCAACGGCTGTTTGAGATCCCACTGAAACGCTCATGAAAACCCTAGATTTATCCAGATTTCGCGGACCAAAACCTCGAATTCCATGCTTAAAACCCAAAGAATTCGAACTCTTCAAGAACTCCGGACCACCGAACGAGACCTTCTTCAGAGAAACCGAAGGGAGCGCCACCGATGAACTCATTGTGGAGAGGGAATAGGAGAATGATATTGGGTGACTGAGGAAACGAGACGAAGAGGGTTTGAATCGAAGTCCAAGAGTGGGAAGAAGGTGAAAGAGGGCATGCATTTAAGGTAGGGAGAACATAGTAATTGTTGTTAGAACCAGCGGAGTTTACGAAGAGTGGGAGAAGTGTACATACGGACGTTTTAAGGTGGCTTCAAATCCGATGGAACCGGCCAACTACCTGGACGTAATAGTAGAAGTCGGTGACTTCTTAATTAGGGTAGGCAAGAAAGACAAGTTTGATCATCAGTTTGAATTTGTGTACGGAGGAGCGACAACTAAACATTAAAACTGTGATTTAATGTATTATGATATTTGATTTGATTATGATTTAATTTATTATGATATTTGAATTGATTGTGAGACTTATTAAATATTAAAATTTAGTGTTAATTTAATGATTATACTAAAATTACAGTATTATATTAGTAAATTAAGTCAATTTTATAGGTTCAAATAGTATTATTCTTTTGTAATTTTTTGGGATATCTTTATGAGAGATTTATTTTTTGTGAATATTTTAGTCTTAGCGTAAATGATCTACTTTTAATTAGATTGAAAAAAAGATTAATTGAGATATGAGTAAATTGATTCAAATACTGTTAAACCAAAAAATAATAATAATAAGTCGGTGACTCGTGCGATTATATCATGTGACAACACCAATATGTTATAATTGAATCGATTTATACAATTACATCACGTGATAATACTGATATAATACAACAGTTAAACCCAATTTTTACTCCATCGATTGGAAAGGCCTTTTGGGTACATATCAATGCAAGAGCATCTCTGGTACGTTTTTTTTTTTGGTACTTAAATTTAAAATTTGGATAAAAATAGTTTAAAATACTTAATCAATACTAGACTCATATCCATACCAAAATGAAATGAGATTTTTTTTTTTAAATTCAAATCTTTAATGGTGAGATTATACCATTCTTTAAAAGATTCAATGATCATATTTTACCTTCATTTAAATTTAGATTTGTCCTCATTTAAATTTAAATTTCTCTTTCTTTAAATTTGAATTTATCTATTAGAGAGGTTTATACTAAATCAAATTTTTTACTCTTTTTTTTATTCAAATTTGAGTAAAGGTTTGTATTTTCATCAGAGATGAAAAGGATCACACAATCCCACTCCACATAAAGAAAAAATATTGATATTTTCATTATACTATCCTTAATTTCACTCTATAATAGACCATTCATCTTGTTTAGGTGAAGGGCCTACTAACAAATAATAAGTTTTATGTGTATTAATGTAAATGATTTATTCTAGAATAAAATTGAGTGAAAATAGAGAGAATTTAGATTAAAAAGTAAATAAAATAAATCCATCAAGATAAAAACAAAAGTTCTGATGGGCTTGTTTGTAGGCAAATATTTCAATGGGGCACACAAGTAGTGCGTTTAACTCGGGTCCAGCTCCTCTAATATCCGAAAAGGGGTGCTTTTTCCCCAAAATTAAGCTATTTTACACATGAGCTATGCGCTTGTGCCCGTTTAACTCGTACGAAAAAGTTTCTTGTGTTGTTGGGCTGTGGCCTGATTTGCCAAAAACTATGGTTCATGGCCTCGGTCAGTCTCACAGAGGTTTTCTCATACTTTAATATTTAAAAATCAATAGATTTAATAAATAGGTAAACATTAGGAAAATGAAAGCATCAGCCGAAGGACTAAGCAGGGCTCAGCAGACACTGGCCCCAAGTCCAGTCTCCTGTATGCACCTGGTCCAACTTTGTGAAGGTAATTCAAAAAACCATAAACTCGAATGTCTTGGACGGACGGAACTCTCATCTAACCCGTAACTATAGTTTAAGGGCGATTTTAACAAATGATTCCAATGATGGACCATAATCCCATAAGAATAGAATAGAATTCAATTGAATTAATTTATTAGTCTAATATACTAACTTAATCAAGTAACCGTACTTGCATATGCTATGAACTCCATGGTCCAAGTTTTATTCATCCTCTATTTAATGAGCCTACTGCACAAATCATCCCAAGAAACCAGAAGTTCATTCATGAGTTTCCATCTACTACATAAGTACAATCAAATCAAATCTGCTATTCATATACATATAAGTTGGCCAATTTCTATATTTTTCTCGGTAGAAACAATTACATCTTTCATATCAATGCAACCCCAAATTCTATCCTCATGGGATGCTTTCTATTTTTGATACAAAGCTTGCCTAGCCTATATGTAGCCTTTTTCAAATGACGAAAACCAACCCGTTTTTGCCATTGTTGACCTCACCCTTCACAGATAATGTGAGCCATCGATAAATGGTTAATCTTGACTGCTATCAAATTTGACTTGAACAATTCTACAGGATATCTCCTGCACACATCCAAAACGACTTGAGCTTAACGAGAACAAAAATATTTGGACATAAATTACTTTTAAACCGTAATTGGTGCATGAGATGTTAAATCACTCAAGATGCAAAAAAGGATAACCTTAAGATGATTTGCAAATCATGTGGGATTTTGTTTAATTTTCTCATCATTCCTTGGCTTTTCTGAACTGTCTACGTATAGTCAATAACCTGAAGTTCACTGAATGTGTCCCTTTTGCTCCTTATGACCCTTGCTTTATTGTCTCTTATTTCTAGCACCTGATAAACAATGGACCAATATTTCAACTGTATTAACTTCGGTGCTACATATAATAAACTAATAAAAGTTGAGTTTGAAGAAATACAAAAATCAGTTGCACATGGTTTTCCAATGTTCAACAAACCGGAAACCATTCAAATTTGTTGCACTTAGATCAAAAGGTCAAGAATTCACCTTTCTGGAAGAGAAGATAGAACATGAACATTGATATCAATTTCAGCTATGGTAGGTGTTTTTTTTGCGCATCAAAGTCATCCACTCCTTTATAGGACATGAGAGCACGCAACCAAAAATATCACCATGATCAAATCTTTTTCCTTAAAAGTGTCATTCCATACAATCGACTATAGAATATCTAAATTAGAATGTGGTCTATATTTCCAATGCATCTTTTGCTATTATCTGCTAGTTATTGCTCAGTACAACCTGAGAAGACAACTAGATTTCCATCGAAACAGGAGACACTTATTAAAAACAACTAAAGAAAATTTAAAATATGCAAATATCTATTTTTGTAAAAAAATTACCCTTAGGATTGACACAAAAACTAGCAGCAATTTAATGGCAGTGTCTCTCTTCAGTTGATATGTGCAATCAGGGGTATGAAATAACACATTCTATTACCAAACTGCTGTTCAACCACTTCACTAACTCATCAAAAGCAGATGCTTCATTTCTTTACAGATGTGCAGACAATGCTATAAAGAATATCAGTTAGGTGCTTAACTTTTTTAAAGTTTGGCCCACTATGAATAGTTTACCTCAGGTCTTGAATCCAGAACTCCACTAGACATCCCCACGTCAATGCGCCATATGCTACAACTGTACTTACTGCATGACAACATAACATTGCAAGAAGTAAATCAACTGAAGATTAATGCAAGCCGCAATGCATAAGATTTTGATATAATCACAGACAACATTGCAGACAGATGATATAAAATTACCTACATCAATAGTTTCAGTAAATGAACAGTTCAGCAGGTAATAATGTTCCCATACCAATTTACTCCTGTAGTTTGAGGAGTATGTCCCACAACCATTGCCTTAGCTCCTACTGCTCCCAGTGTCTCTTCAAGAATTGCTTGGATCTGATGATTGGATAAATTAGTCCAAAAACTTGCCTAGTTTTGTATCACGCACCAATGTTTTTTCTGGGTGGGGTAGGGCATGGGGAGAACTTCCAGATACGTAAAAGCTATGAAGCATGGACACTCTCAGAAGGTGATGTATCCATGTCGGACACTGACACTCTTCGGACACGTGTCCGACACTTCTTTGGTGACGTGTCCGACACTTATTTAGACTATAAACAATAAACTGTATTGACAAGTGATTAATGAAACTTACAAATTTGACTAATAACTTGCATATAATTACCAACATAAGACCTGTTAAAGTTGTAATCAAAATATAACAATAAAAGTAAAAGACGTATAAAAGTTCTAAAAAAGAGGAATTGAGAAAATACGAGTAATCATTTAAATTATTTATGTTGGATACACGTTATTTATAAAACAATTGATGATTATTGAATATTATGATAATTTAGTCTAAAAATTCATACTAGATGACTAAACATAACATTTACAAATTTTCATGCATAATATATCATTATCACTATATTTACAATAATTTACATAATTTTATATAAATCAATATTATCTATTGTGTGTCATTAACGTATCCGTGTCCTACTTTTTTTAGAAATGTCGTGTCGTGTCCGTGTCCCATGTCCGTGTCTGTACTTCTTAGCGTAAAAGAAATATACATATCAAAGAGCTAAGCATCATTGAAAAATAGCTCATTCCTCATGTTCCACAGAATCAATAATTCAGACAAAGAGCTCTTGCATGATCAGCTATTAAATCTGTCGTCTTTGAACAGACTTATATATCCTTCTAGGTTTATGCAAGGTCCAAAACCAGGTTGATTCATGAAAGGTTTAAATCTGGCTGATTTTAGACTCAACAAAAAATAGAAGAAAACAAAGAAAGATTTATACGAAGATTCACAAAAACTAAGCTTTACTTGCCTGATCAATCTGATAGTCTTCCAGATTTGAAATATCTTTAGAGTACAAACGGTTCCAGACGACACTGTCGTAGCCCCTGGTGGCAATGAATGGGATTTGTGGACAACTATCAATCTCACTGAGGCCTCTCATCCAATCAGACACTTCCCTGTTCATCCTCTCTATGCCATAGGCAACTGCAGCAGTACCAGCAATCATATCAGTCATTTCACACAAGCAGTCATTTTAAAAAAAGAAGAGACAAGCCATAAAACAATTCTACATGAATAAAAAATAAAGACGCAATATGCGGATGGAAGTACAATGTTACCATGGTGAGGAAGAAGGCCACCATGACAAAAGACCCAATCATCAACTTTGAGAACAACAGCATGTCGTGCCAACTCAGATGCAAGCGGACCTCCTGGTCTTAGGAGGATTGATCTTGCAATCACTCCCTTCTGCCACTGTCTATTTAAATGACTTTATCAGAAAGATTACTGAGAAAAGGTAATCCAAAAAAAGGAGCTCTGTTTCTCTTAAATTGCTGGAAATGGAAAACAATAGGCATCAAATGCTGTTTTGGCAGAAAATCCGTTAGGCAACTGTTGATACATGCTGGTTTTGCTAGCTAATCACAAAACACATATCATGAACATGAAACCTCAAACCAACACGAGTTATTACTCAGTAGCCAATGGGCAATGGATAGTGGCTAGACTTTAGTCATCCTGCAAAGTGTGGTGACATATTTTAATGTAAACACCCTATGATGCATGCCACAGTAGGCCAAATTAGATTGTCTAAAGCATTCTACAGTAATTATTTTTCCTCAAATATTGTTTTGTGTATTTCTTTTCCTCTTTGTTTCCTCCACTAATCCAACATCCAACCAAAAAAACATTACAATTCCTGAGTGCAAGTCCGGCGATTAATGCCATGTCGGATAAGCAAGATATGTGGAAGATGGAGGGCCTTGCCTCCTTGCTCCCTTTTACCTGCCATGATGTTCATGGCATCTTATCTTTAATTGGATTTCATTTTCCAAATGGATTTTATTCCAAATATGTGATTTTAGAGCTCGCTAAGTATACCATCAGCGAGAACTTTGTTTTTTGGATAAGAAGTGTTTTTCTCCTTTTCACTTCTTATCACTATTTGCATTTCCTTTTTCTAACACAGAGACCAAAAATGAATTTGGCCTGATTGAGTCCTCCAACGTGATCTCATTAGCCAAAGCAACAACAACATCAATGGATAGATATGTGGTAAATTATATTTTACCTCCTGTGATTCAAGTCAGTGACATTTTACCTCCTTATTTTTAATTTTAGAAACCTACATCTAACCCTATGCGGATTCCAACTAATATATAATAACTAGCATGGTTAACAATTTAGTATAGAAATACAATAATACCCTTCAATTTTTTTTTTAGTATTTTTCCTCTTCGAAGTTTTGTACAGAATAGAATGTCAACTTAGTGCAAATGATCAAAATTTTGTTTTGATTCATGGTTTTGATTAGCTCGGAAAATGAAAGATTATGGAGACGTTTCACTAACACAGCAGAAACAAAGAAAAAAATTATAATTTTGGCCTTGAAACATTCCAAAACATGAGAATTTAGGGCCATGTTTGGTTTGTGATCCGGAAACAGTTTTTTGTTCTCAAAATTTCAAAAACATCCAAAACCTATTTGTTTAGCATTTTTATTTTCTAAATTTTGGGAAAAAATGAGATTTGAGTCAAAGAAACAGAAAGCAAGTGTAGCTTGTTTTCAGAGTTTTCTTTGAAAATTTTAAAAACAAGAAGAACAATTTTGGATGTTTAGGTATGGGTATATATATATATATATATATATATATATATATATATATATATATATATATATATATATATATATATATATATATATTTTTTTATATATGTATATATATATTTTAAAGTTCGGTTTATTAAATTTTTTTTTATGAAATTGTCAATATAAAAATAATTTTTTTATATTTTTTTATTAATGTTTGAATTATTGTTCAAATATATATTTAGACTGTCCAAACAGATTTTACTATTTTCTGTATTATAAAATTGTTTTTGAAATCATCGAATCAAACAAGTTTTTTATCTCAAAAAATATCAAAACCACATTCTTAAAACTCTTCTCAAAAACTGTTTTCGGATGCTAGTTTTTAAAACGCAAACCAAACAGGCCCTAGATTTTACATCCCTGGTCCATTTCAGTTCCCACCAAAACCGAAGTATTTTGGGCGGTGGAAACAAAATGAATTTCAATCCTTACCTAGTGTATACAAACGGAGAAGAGACTGATTTATCATATAGAGACAAATATAAAAGTTTATAAATATACAGAGATATAAATATAGTTTTACCACTTTAATTTACTAAGAATATTGGCTTTTGACCTTTTGACATTTGACCAATAATTTTCATGAAATTTTTAGAGGTTCCAATTTACTCTTAACCAAAGGGAGTTATGTGTAAATTTTGAAGTATATGGAGTTAATGTGTAACTGGGTCAAACCACAATGAGATAATCTCTAATTGCCCATAAAAAATGATGGGCGACCACAAGCAATGCAGAGCAGGAAAAGATAGATTTCAATAAATACCTTCACCAGATTTCGTGGATCCCAGTAATTATGAGACATTTTTTGATCTTCTTTCCATCTTCCACACACACCCACCCAACTAACAAAAGCGTCTTCCCAGTTATGGTCACAGGCATCCAAATACTCCAGGAAGTTCGTGCACTCATCAAAACCCCCAGAATCAACATATCTGAAATCCCTTTCTACATTCATGGTCTCATGATTTCCATTCACCTACAATTATGCAACGATAGAACAAAAGAATCAGGTCAATCCTGTGAAAATTCAAAAAATGAAGTTACGAAGTGAAACTATACCAAGAGAACTACATAGATGCCTAGAAGGATTTGTTTATAAAAAACCCTAGCAAACTGGGTTCACAAAATGCCAATGTTTACATCTACATAAAATTGATACTGCACATCAGACTAACATGTTCTTGGTTAAAAAATAGCACCACACAACTAGGTAACCTCTAATTACAATATCTTATCTAGTCATGCAGAAGTCTCGAACAAAACTGTTGATCTTTCGGAATAACAACCTGGAAAACTGCTCCGCCATTAGCTTTTGCCTGGATATCCAACGACCTTAATAGGGATAAAATAGCTATTTCATCTTCACCCCTATCGAGTATATCTCCAAGCTGTATCAATACCTGTGTCAGAATAAAAAAAAATTTCAAATTACAATGTCAACAAAGCATTCATTCATGACTCATTATGATTTCATTTCATTAGTCTAAAAGCTTGGAATCGAATCCACCAATATTAGCACTAATGACCCTTTACACTATGGGTTAGTAACAGGTGTTCCACTTCATGTAAGTAAAAGGCATACCGTCTCTCCACCGGTCCACAAGTCTCGACCATCAGAACTCAAGACACCAGCCATCTCAAGCGCACATCTTGCTTTGGCAAGATCTCCATGCAGATCCCCAACTACACATTCAATTTCCATAAGAAAACAAACAAGAAAAGAATATAAAGAAAAGGAACATGTTGATCACTAGAGAAAAACTCCAAAACAAAACACATCTCTGCAGGAAGTTTTCTATAATCTGAAATTCCAAATTTAACCTTGCCCCAATGGACAGTTGGCATACTGAAAAATTTTCCGATCACCATATCATGAAAAACCAGCCAAAATTTATGGTTGTACAAAAACTTTGTCAGGAAATTTTAGGTGTATGAGAGCCAAACTAATAACTGAGTGCATCTCATCAGAAATTTTGATATGATCTCTCAACTATGGGATTGGCATTTGAATTAAATAGTTTTACATTTCTGATTTCTCTTTGACGAAATGGTTCTCATGGAACTAATCAAATAAATATTCATATGTACGTGTATATGCATATTCGTATCTAAACCGATGACACAGATTTCATGTGAACAGCAATGCTTGAATATTTAACCAAATCCTAATAACAAAATAGAACATAAATCATTGTGACGGTACAAAAACTAGGAATTGAAAAGCACAAATTCAGACAAGAATAGAATAGTCCGCAGAGAAGTACAAATACACAAATTAACGACTCGACTGCGAGCTACAAAGTCCATTAAAGCAGTACAAATTACAAATAAAACAACGTAATACGGAAGAAAAAAAAAGTGGGTACTGATCAATTGAATTCAAAAGAACTTAAAACAATAAACAGAGAAAAGAGAACGAACCGGCGACGATTCGGCGGTCAGGAGCTGAGACGAAAGTGGGTGGGTTTCCACATACCACAATGGGTTTTAAGCTCCTACTGGTATGAGGAGTTAAAGTTGTTGGTGGGTCTATGAGTTTACGAAGCTGTGAAGAAGGTGGTTGGAGAGGTAACGAACAACTGAGAGAGAGCGAGGCCATAGATTACCGAACACAGGTCGTCACTCATCGTCTCTCTTTTCTTTATTTTATCTTTACTTTTTTCTTACACAAAATTATAAAAACTGTTTGGTGCTGAGTTTCCAAAACAAAGAAGATACCTCAGCCACACGTTGGCATTTTTATGGTTTTTTTTTTTTTTTATTGTTACGAGGGTTTCGATTCAATTTATAATTATACCTCTCTCGATCAATTATCTCTCTCATTCGAGTTAAACACTCAAAAACTTTGAATATTAGAGTGTTCGATGGATACTCTATTTAAACTATCTAGTGGTGGTTAAAATAAATTTGTCTAATACTTTAAAAGTTGATGGTACATGAAATTTTCTCATAAGACATGAATGCTACGTTCTAACAGCGTAAGCACCGAGGGTCTGTTTGATATATTTTTTAGGAAAGATTTGAATTTGTTTGTTCAAATTTGAGTTTGATCAAAAATGAAATTTAAAAAGGGATTTAATATTCAATATTGTTCATACTCATGTTTAGTGTGCGCAAGAATATAAGACTATTATGATAATATATTTATATTTAAATGACTATTGTGTCCCTTAACTAATTTAATCTAAACATGGGTATGAATATACGGGGATATAAATGTCATTTAAATGTAAAATCCCAAAATCACATTTGAAAACTCATCCCCCCGTGGGTTTCATGAAAACCACGAACAAGGATTTCATGACCGCCCGAATTTCAAACCTTAGGTTAAACCTATAGTTATCAACCATGGATTTAAGGGGGTTTAGTCCCCGATCCATGTTCAAAACCATCTCAACCACAAGTACCAAACAGCCCAAGAGGAGGGGAAGAATCAACAAATAGCTCAGCCCACTGCCAGTGTACAGATCAGTATTGGCTCAGCCCATATACCACGGTTTTAATAAAACATTCGACCCAACCCGGTCCTAATGAGAAGGCCCGGATGAATCCAACTTATCAGGTAATGCCGGTTACCTTATGAGCTTTGGGAGGCTGAAGGTATGACATGAAAATTATAATGTTATTTGAATATAATTGTTGATTTAATACATTATTATTGTTAGATTGATAGTCCTAACTATGAATATTGAAATTTACAATAATTCAATGACAATAATATATTAAATTAATAAATTAGGTTCAGCAAAAAACTCGAGTGAAAATTTATCAATAATTCAAAATAATACTAAGTTGTAAGACCACTTCAATAGTGGGCCTCCTACGGAAGACTACTGAAATGACAAGCCCCTTATGGATAGTGGTTTTGGCCCACAATATAGTAGATATATGTCATAGATAAAGGTGGATACCATTCACCACGAGGACAACTAACAAATTTTTTAGTGATCAAATTATTTTGGTCATTAATGATATTTTTTTAGCGGCGACATGTGAACTTGTCATTAATGGTCTAGTATGAGTGACGACACTACAATTTGTCACCAACGGTTAATTTTTAGTGATGAATAATTGTTCGTCATTGAAAATATGAGAAATTTGACAAATAATGACGACTTTTATTGTTGTCACTCAAAATGATAAACAATTATTTTCGGTAATAAAATTAGTTGCCTCTGTATCTTAGTAAATATTACAAGAAGATCATTCTAGATGGAGATTCTATGTAAAGCTACGTGTTTATTTTTTTCTTCTAACATTTACATATTAGCTAGTGGAAAACCTTGAAATCTAAGACGATAAGATCGAGGATTGGTAGTATGTTATATCATTTATAAGATCTATATTGTACAATAAACTTTTAAACCAGAATCTACTCATATATAGTTATTTATAGTGTGATTCGTGTTGGGTCAGTTTCGGGAGTGGACCCTCCTTGTTTTCCTTTCATCTCCTAACACCATTCAATGGATAGATCCTAGATAAATCTTTAGCAATCTCAAGGCAACCACTAGGGCATGATAGGGTTTGAGAACTACTTGACTTGGGACAACAAAATTCAAAGAAATCACAAGGAACTGAAAACTCCACTAAAGCAAGTTCCCACAACCCAATTCAGCTATAGGCTAACATATGGGTCCTAAAGCCTGTCATTCAAGAAACAAGGTACATGAATTTATAAGAATATTAAGTACAGTAATGTTACACAACTTAAATGTAACTCAAAAAATTACGATTCAAATTCATATTATTCTTTGAATGATCGAGTTTCAATAACTTTTTTAATAAGATTCACTCACTTACAGAATAATATACATTTAAATTGTGCAATATTTTCGTATTTAAGTAAGTAAACTTGAAACTTCTAGGCCCAATTGTAAACTTGGAGGGTCCCTATATATTCCTTGATTCATATCAGCTGGTATAGCATCAAATCTTGGGGTATGGCTACAATGGTGCTCGACACTTCACAACTTAGCTCTCTAGGCAAGGGTCCGCATCGGGCCGGGCTTACTTGGTCCACACATGGACAACCTTAATGGGTCTCTAGTAGGTTATCCACCTGAACTATTTTTTATTTTTCTTTCTATATTTTTTGATATTTTTCGGAATGGTGGTTCGGGTCAAGCCGAACTCGATGGTCTTGGATAGTATTAAAAAAAAAACAATCCAACGGCTCATCTGCCAAGATTTCAGACCACCCGTGTAAATACTCATACAATATTTACACAAACACACATCCTTATATAATTAATTTTTCTAGTTGTGAAAATATTTTCTTCGTTTACAACTGTAAAATTTCGTACATTTAATATTTATTTTGATCCTATAATAATAAAAATCTCGTGCATTCGATACGCTTTTATATGTGAATCTTGCAAGGATAAAATTTTATACATTTAACTTTTTTTCAGATTTACAATAAAAGAATCTAGATATCTATATAATAAAACATGAGTATGTTTGAATTTTATCTCAGTCATATTTTTTTCCTCAAAACCATCACCAATCACTTACCTCATCTATAATCTATTTGTCAGACTTAAACGTAAAATCACATCACTCATTTTTATCACATATTTAATCATTTATATATTTTCTCCTTAAAAATATCATACCACTTATTTCTATCATATATTTTAATTATTTAATATTTAATTAATTTTAGTTAATATATTTTAAAAATATTTAATATAGTGGAATCGATTTTTTGAATGCTCAAATTTTATATTTTATCGTGTTTTCAGGTATGAATTATGACTAGTATTTTTATATGTCGAGAGTGAGAGAGAGGGATATTCAACTTAACAGAGCAGGGCCAACAAGACATTCAACTGGGGAAGCAAGACATTCAACTGGGGAAGCAAGAAAGGGGGTTTGAAACATTAAAATGGAATAAAAATAGGCTGCCATATTGTCAAGTCCAAGTAGAGAGTAGAGATGATAGATGGGCTCGTCTCTGTAGCCAAACATGGGGGTGGCGTATGGCGAGCAAAGATTGACGTGCGATGCCTCACACTCCCCTACCAACTTTTTATTTACGGATCATATTTACTAATTAATGTCCACCTACTCATACCCAAAAATATAATATACAATGCCAGACCAGACCTAACCTCTACTTCTTGTAGTCCCGCGGGTTTAGGTATCAGGAAGGGGTCCCGCTAGAGAAATTTTTGTGCATGGCCAACTTGTTGACACGTGGAAAACAGAGGTATAATATAGATTTCGATCTCTTTTAATGTATAATTTTTTAAATTTTTTTTATGAATTATTCACTGTTAAAGGACTAACATGTAGGCTAATTTTTTTTTAAAATTTAATCATCTATTCCAAAAGCTATTTAATCATAATTTTTAAATTTAAATTTAAAATTTTCAGACTCGATTTGGCCCAAGCACGGCTCAAATTTTAAACAAGTTAAATTTAAATAATTTTTTAAACTCGTTTAAAAAAATAACTCGACAGACTTGAGTTCAAACTCGGTTTGATTAATACCCTTACTAAAAATATAAATGTATCACATTATTTTTATTTATTACCGGAGAAAATTAGATATTATAGTTAGAGTGTGTTCATCTTATAAGAGATTCTTGGCTCTGCCCCCGTATGCTTTAGTACCATGTAAAAAATATGAGAGAAAGTGATTTTGGTGTTATGTTGAACAACTATTTTTTTCAAAAATTTATGTTATTGAAGAATGTGTAATTTAATATTTATATTTTAATATGTCTCATCACGTGTAGGTTAATTTTTGAGCATAACACGTAAAAATATTTTAATAATTAGGTTAGTGGCGATATTCGAACACACGATCTCTTGTTCTAATAGTATGTTAAGAATATGGGAGAAAAAACTCTGATACCATGTTAAATATCTAAGAGCAACTCCAACGTTGCTCAATAAAATAGTTACTCAAAATATATTTAAATATTATATTCTCTATTTTAACTAACCACTTTTTCAAATTCACTCTAACCAAATCCTCTATTTTAGCTATAACTTTAACTAATTTTCAATAATATAATTCAAAATTTAACTCAAAACACATATAATTATCAATCCAACCAAAATCATACCTTAATAGTAATTCTAATTAAACTTTAAATAATATAACTTAATAACAATTTACCACCCCATCCGCTTTAAATAATAAAAATAAATTGCACAATGCGTCTCAAATTTGTATATTAATATTTCATAGGGGTCTAAATATAAATATTCTATTATACATAAAAACCAATGGAGTTTTCAAAATTTATTTTGGGGTTTCGGAATTTGGGGGAGGGACGTTTTCAGTTCACAGCAGCAGCAAGGAGAGAGAAACCATCTGGTTCACTCATCTGTCATCTGGTTCACAGCAGCAACAACGAGAACATCAGCAGCAGCACCAACTGGCGAGCAATTTCTCTCGCCAGATCTGGCAAGCAAATTTGCCTCGGCTATTTTGGCGAGCTGAATAGTTAGGGCGTTGGAGAACAGGATTTAAAAGTTTGCTTGCTAAAGTGGCTGGAGTGGCGATGCGTTAGAGATGTTCTAAGTACTAAAAAAATTTAAATTATTAGAGTGAGCGTAACTTAAATATTTATATTTTAATATAAATTAATAAATAAAGTAAAAAACTCTGATGGAATATAAT